TTTTTATTTTTTTTATACCTTGTGAAGATATATCTTAATAATTTTATTTTATTTTCTTCAACTATTATCTAAATTTGATTTGATTTTACATGTTGTAAGAAAATGTGAAATTAGATTGTACCATGTAATTTATTTGAAAGAACAAAGAGAAAATAAGAAAAGCTATACAAAACTGAATCGTTGATCGTTTTGTTTGCTGTTAATTTCACATTTTTATATTTATGAACACCTAGGATTATTTTAATAAATGATAGTTTTGACAATATGTTTTTTAAAAAAATTCATATAATATAAATCAAATAATAATGTTATTTGGTATAAAACCGAATAAACCGAAAACCGGTAGTATAAATATCGAACCAAACCAAATTAAATATGGTTCCAATATGGTAGCTAATTTTATAAACCGAATAACCGAAAACCGAAGAAAACCGAACCGAAACCGGACCGAACACCAGATTGAACAGGCCAAGCCAAAACATAAAAAAAATACTATGCTCTTTTTTTAATGGACCATAAAATAGTAAACAGATTAGTCCAGGAAAGTAAAGTAATGTGAAAACCTAACTAATTTTTGCCTTTTTCTAAAAGACGTAGAAAAAAAAAAGTAAAGCGTTTCAGCTTATCTCTAAAATTTTCATCGTTTTCTCTGCAATATCCACAGAGCAAATCTGTTTGAGATCGGAATTTATTAACTCAACCACATCGACTTCATCAAGGTTACTTTTAAAAGATTTTGTTTTTTATTGATGTCTCTGATATCTATGGTTTTCCTAATTATAGTTTATCAAAATCGAACTCCTATTTCATAGATCAGTATGAGGATGAGAATTAGTAGATTTATGTGTTTAAGAATCATATTGAAATCATTTTTGTTTCATATGTCTGAAAGGACTTTGTATAAGAAAAACTAATATCGAAGATCGGTGGTACAGATGGCTGTATATGCATATTTGTGCTGAGATAAGACGAAAACAGAGGAGAAATACCATTATGAGAAGAAGCTAATGTATTCTCTTGGCAATAAGTAACTGACAGAGAAAGCATCAATAGACGATGAGATTATCGATTATGTCAAGTTCTTACAGCTCCAAATAAAGGTAAATCTCTCCCTGGTAATTTAGTAATATACAACAACTTTGGCATGATTTTTAGTAATATACACGAACAGCTCATTATGTTTTGAAACAAAAGGACAGCGAACAGAAGTAATATATAGAAAATATCAGCCACAGACATGGTGAAGGAGAAGACACCCTAATGTTGCAGGTACTCTTAATTTATGTGTTAGATAGATACGATTGTCTCATACATTTTATAAATTTCATATTATTTAAATTGTGTTGCATGAAAGGTCAGTAAGTTGATCTATATTTGACAGGACAATTGACTGAAAGGTCAGTAAGTTGATCTATATTTTGGTTTATGTTAATGATAGTTTTATATAAGATCAGATTTATTTTGATATGGTTTTAAATGACCAAATAGAATTGAGAATTTGTAAAAATTAAAAGAATAACGTTCTTATTCAAAAGAATTTGTTGAAAAAAGAAGAATTTGAAGAGTAATAACTAAAAAAAACTTGGTGAACATTCTTCCACCATATAGAGCATATGAAAGACTGAAACCTGCAAAAACAAAATGGAAATTATTTAAATTCTAACTCTTTATTTGATACACAAGAAAACGATCATCAGTTAAATCTGATCCTCTAACCACAGTTTCATTCGTGATATTCATCTTGTATTGATGCCGTGTTGTTCGATATTTGCCACCAGCTTCGGTGATTTTAACATTTTCAATGACTCCCCACTGTCCTGCAGGTATAGCAAGTTGAACAGTAGCATGACTCTTGTTTCCGTACAAAAAGAATTCAGGAATATTAGATCATTATTAAATAACTGGACTGTTATAATGAAAAAAACATTAAACTCGGTGGTATACCCATTTGTCAGCCGAAACCATCTCAAAAGTACATCCACAAGATGTCTTATGCTTCCAAGAATGTAAGCACTTAACTTAAACATGCCAGTTATTTTTGAAAGGCCTGAGTTTTGAAAGAAGAGTAAAAATAGTGACTTGTGACATTTTTGGAGGAAGTGGTTGGTATTTACGTAATGAGGAATGAGGGACGAAGTATATATAGCTAGTTAGTAAAGGTAGGTTAAATTATTTAGTTGTGATTTTTCAGCATTTATAATCGAATATACTATTCGGTATTATTCCCAAATTGATACATTCGAGTTTGAATTAGTCATTTATTTTCGCTAATTGAATAGATATTATTCCCGTGATTTGAAAGATACGTAGAAAATAAGAATCTTTTGGTGATTGGTGGAATATCTTTTGGTGATTGGTTTGAATATAAATTTTGTTATGAAGTTTCTTAATTATA